AAAACTGTAAGAGAAGGAAGACCAACTTGAATGTAGCTTGGATTGATTACAAAAAGGCATTTGGCTCCCTGCCACATGACTGGATAATCAAGTGCCAAATAACAGGAATCAGTAGTAACATCAGAAGCTTTGTGCAAAGATCAATGGCACAATAGAAGACATAGTTGCTGGTCAATGGTGATAGACTGGGAGAGATTAACATCAAGAGAGAAATCTTTCAAGAAAACTCACTATCACCACTACTGTTTGTCACTGCATTGGTTCCTCTGAACAAGTTAGGCCACGGCTATCAAACATCAAAAAAATCTGCCAGATTATCCCTTTGCATGGATGATCTGAAGCTGTACAGAAAAACACCAAGTGAAATAGAATCGCTGCTGAACATTGTCCAGATATACAGCCAAGATATTGCAATGGAGTTTGGACTGGACAAATGTGCCACCCTTACCATCGACAGGGGAAAAATAGTGAAAACTGAAGGAATCAAGATGCCCAATGGAAATAGTGTCAAGAGTCTGGATGAAGAAGATTACTACAAATACCTGGGCATCCTTCAGGCTGACAACATCAAGCACATTGAAGTCAAGAAGAAAGTTAGTAGTGATTACATCTGAAGAGTGAAGAAGATCTTAAAGTCCAAACTCAGTGGTGGAATACCATCAAGGTGATTAACACCTAGGCAATTCCAGTCATTAGATATTCAGCTGGAATAGTGGACTGGACTCAAGCTGAACTAGGGATAGGAAGATCAGAAAAATAACGACAATAAATCATGCCCTTCATCCACGCAACGACGTTGACAGACTCTACTTACCAAGGAGCATAGGTGGGCATGTTACAAGTACACCAGACAGTTGAAGAAGAAAAAAGTGCATTGGAATAGTATCTGAAGGACAGTGAAGAAGATGCACTGAAGGCCTATAAGAAAGACCAAATGAAGAATAGAAAAGGAATATGGCAAGGCAAAATATTACATGACCAGTACACACACACACACACACACACACACACCTAGCAGGCAAAGCAGATTACAACAAGACCTGGCAATGGCTGAGAGCAGGAAAACTGAAGAAAGAGACAGAGGGGCTAATTCTGGCTGTACAAGACCAAGCCTTAAGAACAAGTGTATGTAAAGCCAGAATTGAGAAGAAAGACAGCATCAGACAGCAAATACCATCTCTGCAAAGAAGTTGAAGAAACAGTGGACCACCTAGTTAGCTGCTGCAAGAAGACTGCACAAACTGACTACAAACAATAGCATGACAAAGTAGTAACAATGGTGCATTGGAATATCTGCAAGAAATACCATTTGCCCGCAAGCAAC